TGTCTATAGAATAAGAAATGTTCCTCCAACCTATCATTACTTTAACAATCTTTCTAGGAAAGATACAAAGAAGGTACAACTAGACACTCAAAAATCAAGAAGTGGGCCATTGAGTATTTCTCAACACAGATTTTGGAATGCCAACAAGCTAACCCAACAGGTTAGAAAAAACTGATAACAATAAAAACAGGTTAACAGTAGGATAAATCAAATGAAATTCACTGATGATTTCTGGGAAAGAAAATAAGCAAGATTTATAATGAAAGCAGATAAACCATGGATCACAAGAGTCACAACATCAACCCTAAAACTTAAGTCTTATTAAGAGATAACTGAAGAGACATCTAATAGTTTCCAATTGATTCTCCTGATAACAGCTAAGAGATTACTGCCTGAAAACAGACAGTACCAACAGTCTTAAGACCAATCAAAGATTTCCTTTCACATAAATATATGGAGTGCATATGAGGCTTAAAACATCAGCACTGCCCGTGATGACTCCTTCTCTAGGAAGAGAGCTTATTTCCCCTCTTTAACACCTGTCAGTCACCACCACACATATCCACATACTCGTGTGTGTATCCACTGAACCAGTGATGCCACCGATTATACAGCACACCATTACCTTAGGGATCACTAAGGAAAGAAAGAAGCTGCCAATTAAACTATGATATATCATCCATTGTAAGATACAGACAGATATTAGAGATGTACAAATACAAAGCATGGGGATGTCAGAATCAATGAAAATGTATAACTGTTTAACCTAGTCAGTGAACAGGTCCCTTGAAAAACAGAGAAACTAGTTTTGATTTCTAGCACCAGACAGGAAGGAGGTGAGGCACCACCTTGTCGCCTCACCCTCCTTGGTTAGCTGAGTTCCCAAATCTATTTGCAATATAGTCCAGGTGACAGAGGTCTGCAGCTGCTCTGTGATACTTCTGCGGCCTTCCTCTCCGCAGCCATTACCAAATCAGTAGCTGCCATACCCAGACTCCCCACCCCAAGCCCAAATCAAATCCACCCAAAAGTGGACTTTCCTGCTTCTACTACACTTGTCCAGACCAGTCACAAGGTAAGAAGAGTACGCACTGTGAATAGCAGCCATCATCCCTCTCTCCTTCTCCACCCTCCATTTCAGCAGGAACCATGAAACAGGTCTTATAAAAAGAAAAAAATTACAATTCTGAAGGTGACCTAGTTGGAAGCCTGAAATTCCATGTTGTGAAACAACTAGAGGCCGGCCCTCTGATCCTTTCTCTGGATGTGCTGAATTCAGCAGGGTGAAAGTGCTAAACCCAGGAGGAGCAATGAAGTCAGTGTTGTTGAGAAGAGCACGCAGCTGAAAAGCCAAGCGGCAGACCAGGACACTGCTGTGATTGAGGATAATATATGTTACACTGTACTCACTCCGTTAAGCACAATAAATCTCTTTTTTCTTGAAAGGCAATAATGTTGGGAGATTACTTCTGGTTGCAGCTGACATAAAGAGAGTCACTCTACGCTGTCATCTAAGATGAGGAGATGCGTGTTTTCCTTTA